AACTGCAGATCACAGTCAGCTGAAGTGGCCTGCAGTACTGCACCCTAACCACTGCGCCACCTCGGCTCTTAGTACTATTCCAGAACAACACCATTACTCTTCAGAAGAACTGATATTAGCTGTTAGCTGGGCTTTCTTTGAACCTGGGCCCTTGTACAAAATAGGAGTTCTGATCAATGGATATACTTTCCAGCAGAAATTCAGTTTCTTCCCAGTGATTGCTGGATATTTTCCTGATGATGTTTGATGAGAGGGGAGAGGGGAGAGGGGAAGCAAAGCTGGGGGATCCAGTAACCCCTTTCCTTAGCATGATCTGTACAACAGGATAGAGATCTCCATTGGGGGAACAACAGTTTAGATTAGTACCGTTTTCAAAGACTGGTGACAGGCACTTTAACTGGGCTGTGGGGAAGAACCCTTCAGGAGACTGAAGGACAGCCCAACAGCACAATAGCCAGCTCCCTCTACAGCAGAGGTGGGTTCCTACCAGTTCGCACCTATTCGGTAGAACCGGTTCGTCAAATCTACCGAAACGGTTAGAAGAGGTTCCACCAGTGGACCCGGAAAGCAGGTCACACCTACAGAAGAGGTTCCAAAAATTTTTGAAACCCACCACTGCTGCAATCTCAATTTAGGACTGTACCTCAATGGAAACCTCTGGTAAAGTTCAGATGTTTGCAGATGACACAATGGTCTTTGGTCTCATTTGAGACCATACTGAGTCTGGATATAGACTGGAGGTTAAACAACTGGCCCTGTGGTAAAGCCATAACAATTGGGACTGAATACTCTTAAAACTGTTGGGATGAAAGCAGATTTTAGGGAAAGTCCTTCTATTTTGCCATCTTTACCATATTTAACAGCATAGTATCAACCGTATAGTCCTTCAAATTTTGGGGTTCTATAATCTCCCAGGACTTGAAATGACCACTTAATCATGTCAGAATTATTATTTATCCTTATTATCCTTTTTACTCCTCCCTTTTATTATGATTATGATTATCATTATTCTGTTGTTTTGTATGTACGCTGAGGGCTTCTGCACTGGAGACAAATTCATTGATTCTAATCACACTTGGCCAAATAAAGTATTCAATTCAATTTAATTGACTAATATATCTGCATGTGCGGGAGGGCGGGGCACATGCAGGAGACAAGTGTGCAAGTGTGGGGGTCACACCTGTATGTGTTGTGGTCGCGTGTACATGCGTGGGGGTCGCACGTGCATGCATGGAGGTTGCGCATACGTGGGGGTCCCGCACCCCATTTTTGGTCCCAGGAGGCTTCAGGGTGGCCTGCTAAGCCCAAAATTGGAGGCGGGGGGTCACGTGCGCATGCACTAAGGGTGGGGGAGCATGGGGATGTCGTGGAGGCATGGGTAGGGGAGTGGGGCATGAGGGGGGGTGTCACGCATTGTGGGTATGGGCATGTGCGCACGTACTTTCGGCACACAACGACAAAAAGGTTGTCCATCACTGGACTAGGACTTAGGGTCTCATGATTTCTAGCCTGATGCTTTTTAATTACACCAAACTGGATTTTCACTGGTTGTTACTTTGATTCAAAACAATCCCCCTTAGAATGCACTCTGTCTTGAGCGTCTATAAAAAGATGAGATATAAATATAACTAATATATAAATCCAGGAATTATTTTGAATAGCAGAATTAACATATCATTGCTGTGGAGATTGCTTTTTGATTGCTGTCCATCCTTTTTTAAAATATGCAAGGCCCCTATTCTGGAATTCTGAAAATCAGCTAAAGCAAAGCTTTTCCAGCAGAGGTTTTCCTCCTAGATTAGTTTGGTTTTGGATACCTACAAGTTTTTTTATTGTGTATTGATGATATTTTAATTATTTATATTGCTTGCTATTGTTTATCTATTGTTTTAATTTTTATCCTGTCTAGAGTTCATTTGGATTGGGGTAAAATATGTAATTGAAAAATATTCATATATATATGTGTGTGTGTGTGTGTGTGTGTGTGTGTGTCTGTGTCTGTGTCTGTGTCTGTGTCTGTGTCTGTGTCTGTGTCTCTGTGTGTGTCTGTGTGTCTGTGTGTGTCTGTGTGTGTCTGTGTCTGTGTCTGTGTCTGTGTGTGTCTGTGTTTGTGTTGCATTTGTGCTGATAAATAAACAACACAAATGTAACAAAGGCAACAGTAAAAATAATGGCTTTCTGTCGTGATGGTCTCTTGTGATGAGCTGATAGACAGAGAAAGGAAGCAGTGTGCTTCCTCCCATATTTGAGCATACCAGGGGTTGGGACACAACACACACACACACACACACACACACACACACACAGCAATAGGGAATAACCATGTTGTTCAGAAATGGTATTCAGCAGGTTCTGACCAGTTCTGGAGAACCGGTAGCGGAAATTTTGAGTAGTTCATCTAGTTACCCAACAACAGATTCTGATTTAATGTCTGCTTCCCCTTGTTTAAATTATGGGTAGCAGACAATACTGAATTATAGAGCACAACTTGATTCCATTTGCTTGACCAAAACAAACTTCTAATCTGTTCATGATGATGCTAGAGAATAGAAAAGTGGAGAATTTACAACCCAAAGCCTATTCACATAATACAGCATTGCAGTTTTGAGCTACACAGGAAAGAAATGGGAAACTGATAAAGATTTGTTAGTCCAGATCCACTTTTAAGGAAGATGAAACAGATATTTTCAAAATAGAAGTCCCTTTATTTCATCCAATATTATTTTCTTTCACCCCCAAACCTAAGCATTGCCATTAGCAATTATGTCTATAGGTGTATAGGTGATTATTATAAAGACAATGATAATACAGGTGGTACTCAATTTATGACCTCAGTTGGGACTGGAATTTCCATTGTAAGTCTTTGCAGTCACAAGTTAAGTCATCACATGACCATGCTTGCTTTTACAATCATTTGACAATGGTCATAATTCGAGTCATGATGGTTGTAAATTGAGTCATAAATTAAGTCATGTGATTGTAAATACAAACCCTGATTAACCAATGATGCTTTTGGGGGAAACTGACAAAAAAGTTGCAAATCATAATCACATGATCATAGGAACTGCAACCAGTCATAAATGCCAGCCACTTGCCAAGTGCCTGAATTGTGATCACATGATTATGGGGATGGGGCAACGGTTATAAGTTGAAATTTAAGTTATAATGGTTTTTTTCCCAGAGGTCATCATTAAGCAAACAGTTGTAAGTCAAGGACTATGTGTAGGAGCAGCTATCACTACTGTTACTACTATTATTGGCATCAAAATAGTTTGTGAAAGTTGATGTAAATACTGATGACTATTTGCATAAGGTCTTTGATTTCTAAGCATCAAGAAACCGCAATTGTTTTTTCAATTGTTTATGAATAATATGAATTAAAAATAAATGAAGTAAATTTATATAACATTCTGGTGTTCTGTTTTTTTGTAGCCCACACTTGAAATTCAACAACCTTACATTGGTTTCAGCTCATGGCCTTCCAGGAAAAGATGTATCAAATAATCTGCATAAGCGATTTTTAATTAACAGGTGTGTTTTTTCAGTACTGCCAAAAAGACAAACATAAACATTATTTTATAATGCTATAAAGTATATTTATATTGTAAATGAGGTGTTAATCAAATTTAATTTCTAACATTTGTACTTCCCTTGTCATGGATTTCAGCTATTGTCCTTTGTTAAATCACTACCCTTGTTTTGCCTTTGAAAACTATAGCAATCCCTTCAGTAATTTTTCCCTTCTCTTTTTAGTAAAAGTAGCAAAAAAGGGAAATGACAGAATAGAGATGGAATAAGAGGAAGCTATTCTTGAAATAGAGAAAAAAACTGGGTGAACTTTAAGCTAGCATTTGTTTATGCTATAGATGTCCACCCTTGGCAACCTTAAAACCAGGCCACATGGCTGGCTGGGGTATTCTGGGAATTGAAGTCCATAAGTCTTAATAGTTGCCAATGTTGAATACCCCAGTGGTGGGTTTCAATTTTTTTAGAACCTATTCTGTGGGTGTGGCCTGTTTTGTGGGAGTGGCTCGGCAATCATGTGACCAAGTAGGAGTGGCTTGGCAGTCACGTGACCGGGTGGGAGTGGCCAACTTGTAAAATATGGTGAAACTCACTTAACAACGCTTGCTTAGCAACCAAAATGTTAGCTTAGAAATTCTGGCATTTGAAGCATGCAAGTCTTAAAGCTGTCAAGGTACAAGACCCATGCACCCCTAACCCTTTAGAAAAAACCCCAGGGGTGTTCATACTTGACAGCTTTAAGACTTGTGGACTTCAACTCCCAGAATTTCTCCTTCCCTCACTCAGCTGCTATCGCTGGAGTGCCACCAGAACAAGCGAGGTCTTGGGAGGGACCTTCCCTCCCCCTCCAGAGAGCCCATGCCGGGAGAAAGGAAGTGGGCTGGTTTGAATGCGGGCGAGCGGGTGGTTTAGTGGCCAGTGAGTACCTCCTTCACACGTTCGGGAAGGCGGAGAAAGAAAGGAGGTGGGCGAGAAAGCACCAATGCCACCAAGTGTGAAAGCGGGGGTGCTTTCTTGTGCACCTCATTTCTTTCTCCGCCTGCCTCCTTCACTAGTTCGGGCAGGCAAAGAAAGAAAGGCGCATGATAGCCGGTTTGAATGCCAGTCTCCTTTCTTTCTCCACCTGCTTCCTCCATTCATTCGGGCAGGCAGAGAAAGAAAGGTGAGCGAGAAAGCATCCCCGCCACCAAGTGTGAAAGCGGGGGTGCTTTCCCACGAGTCTCCTTTCTTTCTCCGCTTGCCTTCTTCACTAGTTCAGGCAGGCGGAGAAAGAAAGGAGGCGTGTGATAGCCGATTTGAACGTGAGTCTCCTTTCTTTCTCTGCCTGCCTCCTGCGCTAGGTGGAAAAAGAAAGGAAGCTCGCGATAAAGCACCCCCGCCATCAAGGGCAAAGGGGAGTGCCTTTGCCCTTGGCTATCGTGCACCTCCTTTCTTTCTCTGCCTGCCTGAAAGAGTGAAGGAGGCCACTTAACCACCCGCTCGCCCATGTTCAAACCAGCCTGCCTCCTCTCTCTCGACATGGGCTCTCTGGAGGGGGAGGGAAGAGGGGAGTTCTGTGGGGGGAGCTAGCAGGGGGGCAGGCCAGGGTAGGGACCGTTCCAGTACGGGGCCTCCGGAGGCCCCAGTACACAAACACATGCTGGATTTCTGGCACCGGTACGTGCATACTGGACCGGACCACCTGAAACCCATCTCTGGAATACCCCCTGGTTTATGCATTACAAGTTTGTAACAGCTGTGTCTGCAGTAATCTGCATTTCTTGCTAATCCATTATTTTCTTACCAGCAAATGTAAGCACCTCCTATTGTTTCATTCCAATTCATGTGTTTTCTTGTGGGGGTAATATAATACCTTATTATGGACTTCAATAAACTTTCTGAACGGGAGCAAGAAGACTTGATTATAGGATTTTAATCAATTTACCAGAATATAATTAATAATTACATTCAATTACTAAAATGAACTTGTTGTTTCTTCAGTTATTGTTTTAATGAGGATGATTATGCACTGATGTCACTTGGTTCATGGATTAATGTTGTGGCTGGAAAAATGATTGCTATAAACAGATCTGCAAAACATGTAACAGTTTCCAAGGAGAAAGAAGTGCCATATGATCATCTCATTCTCTGCACTGGCCAACAGTATCAGGTAAGTCCAAATATTGAGGCAGCACTCCCATACCTAGTTAAATTGGGAAAATTTTCATTGAACTCAGATTAATTAATTTACACTGCATATATAATAATAAGTTTGGAATTCCTATCCAAAATATTTTTAATCTTATTTTTATCCTCTTTTTAGTTATTTTGAAGGTTGTGATCCCATGCTTAATTGAACAAATAATTTCAGAAATAGTGTATAAGAGTCAAAATCAGTGTCTTTAGTAAAAATCATCATGGCTGAATTCAATATAAGCAGTTGTAATTTGTAGTTTATTAGAAGTCTTATTAAAATCTCAGAATCAGTCCCAGATTTAGATAATCTATTAACAAATGAGAGGCTGTGCTAATCAATTCCATGCTGTTGCAGCATAAGAAGCATAAGAGTTCATCTTTGATCTGATTTATTTGACAAATCTAGCAGGATTGGAATTCCAAGGCTCCTCAACAAACAAGTTGCTACACTTAACTATTTATTCTTACTAAACAATTTGGATGGTTGTTTCAGAGATAGATATTTCCTTACCAGATTCCTTAATGTCTTCAACAAAGGCAGATTTTCTACTGTACTCCTTTCATTGGAAAAGTTCTTTAAAATTCAAGGAGATATTCAGAGATGTATCTGCTTGGAAAATAGCCCATATTAATTTGTACAGCACAGTCAAACATCAGGGGTTGACCACAGAAAATGTATTATGGCATTTGTACTATGTCATAAATGTTTATGTTAATTTTTATGTTATCAAATATTCATAAAAGTTGTCAAATTTCAATACCAGATGATTTTATTTTATGGGCCTTAGAACTGTTAATGGTTGGGCACTGTTCTCAAGTGAATAAACTGGACATCAATTCTCTTCTCACCTGTATGCCAGAATCCCTGCTGACTCTTTTTGAGATTGTATAGTGGAGTTTGAGCAAGAAGTGTGGCTGAAGTGCTGAGGATGACTACAAAACCATTTGAAACTGAACATTTTAGATGTTCTTACAATAACATTGATATATCAATAACCATACCTCAAGTGACTTGTAGAGTAGAAAATAATTCTAACCCTAACCCTAACTCTGCCTCGTGTATCTATTTCTCTTGAAGAATCTTTTTCTCAGCTTGTTGCAGAATGGTAATGTGATCCCAGCCTTCCACGTTATCAAGATTACTTACTTTTAGTCAAGCAACATTGCCTTCTGTTCTCCTCCAAACACTGCCCCAGGGTTGTAAATGGATGTTCTTATCATCCATATGTGTGATGCAGTGAGATGACAAAGAAGAGCAAATTGCTTCCTATGATAGCGGTTCTTTGAGTAGCCATTTGTGAATTCACAGACTGCACTGTCTGCCTTCTATAGATACCAGAATTTAGCAGGCATTCTTAGTTTTATAAGCTTATAGGAGAGGGAACTGAGAAGAAAAAAAATGACAAATGTGAACATATTTTTAAAAAGCAACTAGGAAGTTAGTTATCCAATTCTTGTAGTTGAAAAAGCTGGTTATACCTCTAAAACTTTAGTTTAAATAGAGATGTTTTAATAAGTGAAACAGAAAAATTATCCTTTTATTGCCTGCATTAACTACTCCACCTTTATTTTTTACACATTTTTGCCAACAATGGACAAGCTTCTTAAAGCCACTTTTTTACTGTATCCTGACTGTCCTTTTTACCTTTTCATTTTAGTGAAACAGATGCTCACAAAAATATTCCATTATTTTTGGGGAAATGTGACACTGTTGTCTATAGCAAATAAAAAATGTTACTGAGATCCAAAGGCCTCTTGTGTGGCCTGTGAGGTGTGTGGCCTAGAATTATCATATTGCAGCTGAATTTTCTTCTTATTAAATAGCAATCTTGAAATCAATTTCGTTTTGAGATATTCATCAACTATCTTTAACTAGTTCCTCTTAAACTGCACTGAGTCAGAACAACCTATAGACTTACATGTCAGGGAAAATAGGAACACAACCTTTTCTCATAACAATCTCTTGTCAATTAAAAGAGAATAAGAAATGCTAAAGAACATGACAAAGCTTCTAGTGCATCAGTTAAGAACACTGAATGTATTATTTTTTATTCAATCCTTGCAATTTTTCAGTACCTGAAATCTCTTCAACCAGAAGTTGTTCCAAAGAACGGTTGGAAAATGTTAGTTTTTAGCCAGTTGTTTTGTTTTGTTTTTATTTTGCTTCATCTCAGCAGATGGTAGACACTGTTTCCTTGAAAATACTTCAGCAGGGGCTTGACAACATCAATTTGCAACAGTTTAATAAAGAACCCCTCAAACTTTCTATGAATAAGTTGCATTTTTAAAGGGCTTTGGAACAATTACCAAAAATGGTTGCTGCAAAGGCAAGATTATTCACAAACTATACATATTTTCTCTCATGAGAATAGGAAGTGAGACAAAATAAGGAAAAAAATAAAAAATAGCAGAAAATGAAGAAAAAAACTGAGAAGCTAGGGAAATGAAGGGAGTAAAAAAGAAATTATAATAAATTATTTTAAAAAGTTATAATGCTATTTATTGAATGAAAAAATCACTTATTTCTCTTGCAAAGGGAAGAGAAGTGTACAGTAAAGGAAACTCAATCTAACACCAAAAGTTCAATTGTTCTCCATACTTTCTATCGTAGATCCTGGGTGATGAAGGGCTAGTCTCCAATATCCTTTCGAAGTTTAGTTTGCATTCTTAAGATGAGACAAGTTTAGAGTATCACTGAAAATAAGTGTAAGACTAGTTTGTATAATTTCAACGTGATGTGGGTCTTTCTCAATTTGTCTCAATATTTGGAGCTTAGGTGAGTGAACGCAACAGTAACATCTGTTAAAATAAAATCTGTATTTTGCCTGTAGACCTAAAGACCTAGATTCATGTGTCAAGTACCTATAACATCAATATTTCTCTTTAATTAAAATATGTTTATTTTCTCAGCCAGATGTAGCACATTTCCCCCTCTATGGATTGGCTGCTGAGTTACTGCTTGATTAGTAATTTTATAGCTCATTATAAAAATATGAATTGCTGAAGCAGAATATATTTTAATAAATAGTGGTATCTGTGAGAAAATTAGAATTTTATGATGAATAATATTTATTTATCTGTAAATATAGGTCCCATGTCCTAGTGGTGCAGATATCAAAAAGTTATTAACCAACAGAGAGGTATCAACAAACTATAAACAGAGATACACAGGAGTAGTGCCCTCCAATCTTTTTATTATTTCCGATGATGAAGATGCATTAGCAGCAATTAACTGGCTAAAAGAAAAAGCGATTGAGTCCACAGGTAACGGTTTTACCAATTCTACTACATGAAGACAGCAGAGGCTTATGTGTTTCTTGGCAAATTGCATCTCCATTTCTAGCATATAATTATAGCTTAATTAATCCTTGCAAACGGTTTCCTCTACTCTTATTTATTGTACAGATTAATTTACAATGTACAGATTAATTTACAATGTCAGTTTTGGAGACATTTATATTTCTTGCCTGGAACAAAGATTGAAAATAAGAATTACCTATAATTGCTCTATGAAATTAGATTAACTGAAATGAAATACCTAAGCACCAAGTCTGGGATTGTTAATTAACATATGAGATAGTAATATCATTAAATATGTTTTGCAGCTAGACACAAGGTTTTTTTAGACAGAAAAAGCTGAAAAGAAAAGAAAATTTGACTTTTGGGGATTTACTGTAGAACTATCTGCATACTGTAAAAGGTACTACAGTTGGTTAATACCATGCGTTGATGTTTATATGGATGCAATGCATCCTTTCATTAAGTTGCATGCCTCAGAAGTGTTACATTTGTCAACAGCACAGTTCAGTTTTCTTTCAATGAGTGGTATCTTCTGACTTGGAATTAGGCAATTAGACTGTTTTTCACCTCAAGACTTGACTACTGTAACGCGCTCTACATGGGGCTGCCCCTGAAGAGTATTCGGAGACTACAATTGGTCCAGAATGCAGCCGCGCGAGCAATACTGGGTGTACCGAGATACACCCATGTTACACCCATCCTCCGCCAGCTGCACTGGCTCCCTATTGGACTCCGAAC